GGGGGGGGGGGGGAGGCATATCTCTCTCCAACACACACCCACACACACACGGTGCTGGGCTGTCTCCGCGTCTCCGCGTCCAAGGGGAGGAGCCGGCACAGCATTGACAGTGCAAGGCCCAGTGCGGTGTGTGTGTGTGTGTGTGTGTGTGTGTATGTGTGTGTGTGTGTGTGTGTGTGTGTGTCCATCTGCAGAGCCGGAACCGCGGCACCGAGGCATGCGAGAGCTGGCAGAGCTGGCAGGTCTCGCTGCGTCTGTGTGTCGCTTGACCAGGAGGTGTGTGAGTGTGTGTGTGGCGGCAGAGCGACAGAGCGACGGCCAGAGTGGCGGTGTCCCGTCGCGGCCAGGCTGCCCTCTCGCCTCTCTGTGCTAGACTGCGCAACCTCTCCGGGGGTGGGGGCGGTTTGGGTGTGGAGCGGCGGTTTGGGTGGCGGTTTGGGTGGCGGTTTGGGGGGGGTGGGGCTGGGGGGTGGGGTGTGTGGGGCGTGTGTGGGGGGTGTTTTCGGCTGTCCGCTCGCCTGCCGGCGCGCGTGCAGCGATCCGTCCTTGGCGAGGGTAACCATGTGGTCTGTCGTCTTGCGGACCTGGCGAGGTTTGGGAGAGGGGATGGGGCGGGGCGTAGAGAAGGCTGCATGGCAACGCGGGGAGGGGGGGGCGGGGGGGCGAGGGAGGGGAGGGTGTGTCAGGGGGGAGGGCGATGGGGAGGCGGCGGGCGGCGGGCGGCGGCGAGGGTGGCGGTGGGGAGGTGAGAGCAGGGGAGCTGAGGCTGTGGATGGGGCGGCGGGCGGCGGCGTGGGGCCGTGGGGCGTGGGGCCGTGGGGCCGTGGGGCGTGGGGCGTGGGGCGTGGAGGGTGGAGGGTGGAGGCACCTCCTTGCACCGCGCGAGCGTCGTCTGGATCTTGCCGTGGCGGATCAGCTCGGTCGTGAGCGAGCGCAGCAGAGCCTTGCGCTGGTCCGCAGGCTTGTTCAGCTTGCGGAACCCCTTGCCATGGCTCTGTGGGGGAGGGGTCGGGCGCCCCGAGACGTCAGCAAGCGTCCGCCGAGGTTCCGACGTGGGAGAGCTAGGCGGGGTCGGACGCTCGCAGGGGCAAACAGCACGGGGGCAGGCCCTGCGCATCGCTCCCACAGGAACGGGTTGAGGGGCGCGGGCGCCCTCTCCGCCTGGCAAAGCGGCGACGCGCTCTCGGCTGCGAGGCGGGCGGCGCGCACAATCATGGCGGGGGACGCGCAGCGCGAGACTGACTGCAGCGGCGCCGCCGCCGGAGCGACGAAGGCGGTCGCCCCGCACAGGGAGGCGACGAGCAGCGCGAGCGTGCTTCTCATGGCGGCGCAGCACAGCTCCTGTGAGCTCGGATCCGCTTTTTTTTTTGAGAGAGCGCCCCCCCCTCTCGAGGTTCTCGAGGTGGATATCCTTTGGCCGCGTTGGGTAGCGAGGATTGGTGTGACGCGATCCACGCAGGCGTGTTTTCTGGCGGCCGACCGTCAGTGCACGGAGTTGCCCCTTCTCCGACTGCCCCGGCTAGTTCCCGAGGTCGTCGGGTGTGACCCCTTCGCCGCCCGAGACCTAGCGCGGGTGGGTTGGAGGGGGGCTCGCCCCGTTCCTCCCCATCGGGCCGCGTGAGCGGCCACGCCTCGCCCCCCCCCCACCCCCGGGGGGGGGGGGGGGGGGGGCTTCGTTGTTCTACCTACCTTGCGGCCGGCGACGAGATTGCTAGAGGCGGAGCAAGCCTGCTCTAGTCTCACACGTTCGCCCCTGTCGCCTGTCTGTGTTGTTGTGCTGTTGTTTGTCTCTTGGCACCTTGGAGTGCTGGGGGGGGCGACAGGGAGGCTGGATGTGGCCTTGAGTTATGTGTACGCCCACTAGGATGTGTGGCAGCCCGCTGGCTGTGTGTCTTGTGTGTTGTGAGCTTGTTTGTGTCTGTGTGTCGCTCGTGCGTGTCGTCATCATCTGTCTTGCGTTCACCCATACCGCGTTGGTGTCCAGTCCGAGCCTGGCTGTTCTTCACCTTTCTACCTACCTGTGTGTGTGTGTGTGTGTGTGTGTGTGTGTGTGTGTGTGTGTGTGTGTGTGTGTGTGTGTGTGTGTGTGTGTGTGAAAGCGCCGTCGCAACTGCCATGTCGGCAGGTTGTAGGCTGGTGCTCTCGCCCCGCTGGCGGCGCGGACCGGTGCCGCGGCTCCCAGCCTCCTGTGGGCCCGCGGCGGCTCGCCGTCGCGGTTCCGAACAATGGGATCGGTGCGGATTCATCCCGGCGTGCAGCTGGTGCCGCTTCTTCGGCGAAATTTTGCTCAACCTACTTTGTCGACAAAGCTGTGCCCGAGCTCCTGCTGCTCGACTGCGCGGCGGAACCGGCCCCTCGATGCTGAGATGTGAGGCGCCGGCACCGGGGCTACAACGCGGGGCCATCTCCAGGCTGTCTCGGGCAACCTCAAAATTGGCGCCTCTCTCTGCTGCTGCTGCTGCTGCTGGTGCTGCTGCTGGTGCAGATGCTGCTGCTGGTGCGGCGCGGCTCTCCGACTCGACTCCACGCGGGCGTCGCGGGCATCCGACGCGGCGGGCGGCGTCGCGGGCGGCAGCGATCTCGGCTCGACGGCGGAGGTGGAGGCTGGTGGCTGTGGTGGACCTTTGAGTTTATTTGATGGTCGAGTACGAGGACTGGGGGGTCAACAGGGAGGCAGGGGGTTCGACCGGGCGACGGAGGACGGTGGGCTATCGCGGGGACCACTCAGCCCGGAGGGCGCGGTGGAAAGATCCCACCGGATGGTCTTCACGCCGGTGGGAGGCACCGAGGCGTCTCGGACGCTACACTCTACCTTAAGCTCCTGAGGGGCGCGTGGTTGTAACCACGTAGTATGACTACAACCCACCACAGACACCCTCCCGCGCCTCGCTCTCCTCGCGTGTGCACACACCCTCACCCTCTCCCCTCTCCCCTCTCTCTCTCTCTCCTCTCTCTCCTCTCCTTGTCTGTGCTGTCTGCCTGACTCAGGCACTAATTCTGCCGATGCGTGATTGTGTGTGGGCTGCTCCGAGGGGGCCCTGTGCGATCCGATGGGTAGGGAGTCTGTGCACGGGCGGTGTCCAGTGTGGAGTCTCTCTCTGATCCCACCCGTGATGTTGGGTGTGAGGTCGTGGAAGCTTTGATCCCAAGGGGGGGAGCCGATCCCACTCATAACCAACTCTCAGGGGCAGTAGGTGGGCGAGCTTCAGGCGCGCTCATCTCGATCGTCAAGGCGTCGCTACGCGCGGTCTTCCGCGGGGGGAGCTTCGTCGACGGGTGCGGGACCGCGGCGCAGTCAGTGCCGTGGCGATGCCTCCGGCTGTTTGCGGCGGGCGGCTTGCTGCTCGCGGCGATGGCGAAAAACTCGTCTCGTTGCACACCAAGGGCTTATGCTCTGGCGAGATGTGACGGGCACCTCGAGCTCTGGAACCGCAACATGACGGCATGTCGGCATCGCATCCTGCCATCCCTCGTCGTTTTGTCGTCTTTTCATCTACCGACTTTTCGTATCACGGGCACCCGGTGCCGCTCGCTGCGCCTCAGGGGCGCATGCGCCGCTCGTTGGCGTTGTACTACTTCACCGCGGGCTGCCCAAAGCAGGACTGCCTGGGGGACTGCGACGACTCCCACTCCACGCTATGGCAGACGCCGAAGGGATGCCAGGCATGCCAAGAACCTGCGTGCAAGGCGTATAAGTAAAACCATCGCTTCGAGCACGCCGCATCCGAGGACGAAAAGTGCAGACAACGGCCGATTGTGCACGGCGACGGACGCCAGTAATCTATAGCATGCAGCAAATCGATGAAATGTTCAGAGAACGGCTGGGAGTCAGAAGGCCGTTCGAGTACGAATCGAATGCATTTTTAGAGACGAAGCTGGTACTCCGTGGCACGTTGAGCACGCCGCGCCGCCTCCCGCCCATTGGCGTCGGCATCCCGCAACTGCGCCTTTGAGCAGGGGGAGGGGGGCGTGCTTCTGCTCACGCGCCACCCCCCCCCTAGCATGTGGTGAAGGCGCTGGGGGGGTCGGGACCCCCCCCCTAGCATGTGGTGAAGCCTCTGGGGGGGTCGGACCCCCCCCCTAGCATGTGGTGGGCACCCCCCAGCAGTTTGTGGGCTAGGAATAGCCGCCAGAGAGCCGATTTTGCCCCCAAAATTGTGAAATCGTGGCTGAAAGACCAATATCTTGGAGAATCTGACCAGTCTCAAGGCTAATGTAGCTCCAAAGGATGATTTTCCTCTCGAAAATACTGCGAAATGAGGCGTAAAATCAAGGGCCCGGAGGGTCTGACCACGAGTCTCTGGGGGGGTCCTCGGCCACGACCCCCCCCCTAGCATGTGGTGAAGGTGCTGGGGGGGGCAAGGACCCCCCCCCTAGCATGTGGTAATACCTCTGGGGGGGGTCGGACCCCCCCCCTAGCATGTGGTGTGAGCAGAAGCACGCCCCCCTCCCTGGAAGCGATGTCCGCCTGCTCATTTGCTTCACCACAGTGACCGCACTTCCAATCGTTAATTATGTTCCAGCTAATACGCGGGGCCTTGGCTACTGTTTAGCTTAATATTAACGTTATTAGGTACCCTCTAGTAACTGGGTACATTATTAGGCTAATCGTTTGATAGTGCTCCCCCCCGCTAGTGCCGTCGGCCTGCAACTCGAGGCGCCGTTGATAATGAGCACGAGAGCCGGTGCGCGACGGCGGCGCGGGTGATGTAGCCCAAGGTGACGACGACGGCGGAGGGGGCGGCGGCGGAGAGGGCGGCTGCGGCGCCGGCGATGGCCGCGGGGTCGCCAACCCGCCTTTGCTGCTGGTGTGGGCATCATCACAGCTCAACCTGAAGTCAAGGCGCGGAAGCTTCAGTTGGCACTTTTCGCGTCCTTTGCCACGCATATGGCGCCGCGGACCGGTCTACCGGACCCGCCCCTGATCGTGTTCTCTTCCTCGACTCGACCTTCCGCGACCTTCCTCGACTCTCGACCTGATGCTGAGTTTCCGCACACCAGCGCAGCTCAGTGGCAGTGTGCGACTAAGGGCGTAGACGCCCTTAGTGCGACCAGGGCCAGTGGTAGACAGTGAACGTGCGTGAGGCTGCTCTCTGAGCGATGACACTAGCAGGGGCATCATGAGTGTCATCGGAGCCGCTTGTATTACGACGACGCCACGCTTGCAAGGGCCGCCTAAGCGCCTAAGCATCCTAAGAGCACCCCCCGCTTAGGGGCCGCTTCGGCGCTTAGGCGAGGGGCGGCCGGCTGCCCGGGGCCTGGCGTGCCTCTGCCGTGGGGTGAGCGCAAGAGCCACTCTGCAAGTGGTGTGCGAGCGTGGGCACCATGGGCCCGTGGGGTAAGCTGGTAACCATGGGCCGTCACGGCTCACGCGTTTCAGTGAAAACCGTCGTACGTCGAGAGGGGACGGTGTATAACATTTGCAGGCCTTCTCCTCCGCCTTCGAGGAGACAGTGTAATATTCGCCGAGGCTTCGCCTCCGAGGACCAATGATGCAAACGGGGTATCTTCAAATCTTCCGCCCGGGCGACGCGCACGCCCGGAGGCCGGAGTTATTTAATATTTTGTGGGTACCCTTATCCCTTAGATCTGAGCCCTGGCCTCGACACCTCGACACCAAACCTCGACACCAACTCGACACCTCGACACCCCATGCCAACTCGACACCCTCGACACCCCTCGACACCCCTCGACACCATCTAGGCTGGTACCACGCTCGTCCGTGTCAAGGTGCCAAACTCGACACCTCGACACCGCTCGACACCGCTCGACACCGCTCGACACCGCTCGACAACCGCTCGACGCCCTCGACAGCAGCTCGACACCCTCCACACCGGGCCTCGACACCTCGACAGCAGGGCTCAGCCTTAGATGAGCCCCACGGCGGCGTCCGGCGAGGGCTCGGAACAAACGCCAGTCTCCACACTCCAACCCCCAGCACCGCCAGAGCCAAGATAAAGAAACTGCCCGAACGAGCATAGCAGCATTCCGCACTAGGTCCTCCCTCAGCCCCTACTACGCCCGCGCTGCCGGCGCGTCGCCCCGCGGCGGCGGGCGGGGGTGGCGGGCGGAGTCGCACGTATACACGCTCGGGGGGAGCCGCTTGGCCGACGCGAGGTCCCAGCACGAGGAGGGCACCGCCGCACAGTCGCACCACGTGCAGCTCGCGTCGGCGTCGCATGCCGCCCGTGCCGCGTACTGCTTGCAGGGCTCCGCCTCCGCGGCGAGCTGGGCGGGCGGGGGGGCGGGGGACCCCCCCCGCCCGCCCGCCCTCCTCTCGAGGACGGCGCGGTCGCCTAGTAAAGTCCGATCAGCCGTCGGCACGCTCGTCCATCGCCCACTTCCTCCGCTCGGGGCGAGGGGGGCGGCGCAGTCGCCGATGCGGCCGCCGGGTGGGTTCCACGGGTCGTCGTTCCGCAGCCTGGACATGTCGTGGACGTGTCATGGACGCGTCATGGACGAGGGTCACGGGTCGCCGTTCCCGCCGCCAGGTCCACACCGCGTGGCTCTCGTTGAGCTCGAGGGTGCCCCATCCATAGGCGTACCTAGAAGGGTCCAGGAAGGTTCCTGGAAGGGGTCCTAGACGGCTCCTAGGAGGTGCCCCCCGCCGTAGGCGTACTCGCGCAGCGCAGACCACGCTGGCTGTTGCGGCTCCCACGGCCGCGCAAAGTGCTCGCGGTTGCCTCCGTCTCCGACGGTGATGTGCGTGATGCCCGACTCGGGCGGGGAGGCGAGGCCGCCGCGGGCGACCTGCGGTGTCGGGCGGCGGCGCGCGGGGGGGGGGGGGGGGCGACCGGGTGGGTCCGCTCGTAGGCGTGCACGTGGCCTAAGAAGGAAGTACAGTGTGGCGTGATGTCTCTTTTTCTGGGACCGCTCGTAGAGGCGCACACGGCCTAATAAAAGAAGTCGATCTGCCGGCGTGCTTCTTCGTTCTGGGCTCGTCGAGGGTGCGCGCGGCCGTTGAGGACGAGGTCTGTTCCCGCGGCGAGGAGGAGGGGCTCGAGGTCCTCTCGCATCCTCGCGCCCTCGCTCATCGGGTGGTGGCGGTTGGAGGTGTACCTCAAAGGGGCATCACCGAGTCGCTCTCACCACGCGAGGAGCGCAGCTCCCCATATCTCCCCATATCTCCCCATATCTCCCCGCTCCTCGTCGCTCCTGTGTGACCGTCATCTCCCGTCTAGCGTCCACCCATACCGCGTTGGTGTCCCTGTCGCTGGTCGGACTGTGTTTCGCCTTCCCATCAATCTATCCGCTCCTCGTGGCGGTGGGAGGCGCGTCACGGCATGAGACGCGGGGAGATATGGAGAGATGTGGGGAGATATGGGGAGATATGGGGAAATACGGGGAGGTACGGGGAGATACGGGGAGGTATTGGGAGATACGGGGAGATACGGGGAGATATGGGGAGATATCATGAGAGGCGCGCCACGGCGTGTGCAGCACTGCGATCAGCCAAGGCGTGCGGCGGCGGTCGACCGAAGCAAGGTCGCGCGTGAGCCACTCATGCTGCGGCGAGCCTGCACGACATGTCCCGGACATGTCCAGGACATGGCATGGACCTGTCAGCCACTAATGCTGCGGCGAGCCTGGGCCGCTCGCGGCGTACGAGCAGAGCATCATCACATGCGCCGGCCCCGCCTCGAGAGAAGGAAGGGAGGGTCACTTTCCTGGTGGGGCAAGGGCCAGGCAGCCCTCGCATCCCCACACGGGCTGGAGCCGGCACGGCACACTCAAAGTGCAAGGGTCGGTGCAGGGAGGTGAGCACTCCACCTCGCCCGGGAAGGCTGGGTGGGTTCGGGTACCGTGGGGTAGGGGAGGGTGGGTTCGGGTACCGTTGGGGTAGGGGAGGGTGGACCCACCTCTGCCGGGAAGGCGGAGATGTGGGGGAGATATGGGGGAGTGGGGAGATATACCTCGAGCGAGTACCAGAGGAAGGAGTCGGACTGCGCTGCGGCGTGGCCTACCAATAACTGCTTCGCGATGAATGATTCACTGTGAAAGGAGACGGTCCGCGCGGCGGCGTGGCCGTTTGGGTACCGCCGCGAGTACGCCAGCCAGTTCTCGCCCCCGCTGCTGACCTAGGGTGAGGGTCAGGGTTCGGGTTGGGGTCAGGGTCAGGGTCAGGGTCAGGGTTGGGGCAAGGGTAAGGGTACGGGTCAGGGTAAGGGTCAGGGTCCGGGTTGGGTTTGAGTAGCTCTCGCCTCGTGGTTCCCTCCGACGTGCGCCACCGGCACGCCCGCCCACAGGCCCTCGAACAGCCGCGCGTACGAGTCCCACCGGCGGTGGTCGCCTGGGCGGGGCACAGGAACCGGTCGGAACACAGGCACGGGAAACAAGAAATCGGGCTGCCGGTCCCACCGCCGGTGGTCGCCTGCAGAGGGAAGGTTCCGAGAAGGGTCTCTGATCCAGCGTGTGAGCCCGTCTCGGCGCCTCTCCCTCTCGGCGCCTCTCGGCGCCTCTCGGTGCATCTCGGCGCATCTCGGCGCATCTCGGCGCATCTCGGCGCATCTCGGCGCATCTCGGTGCATCTCGCCGTCAGCGTACGAGAGGTCTCCGCCCAGTAGGATGGCGTCGATCGAGCCGTCCTCAGCCGCCTGCGAAACGGGCTCGGCTCACGCGACTGCGCGGCGGGAGGTTCACGCCGCCCCTGGTTCCCCGCCACCTGCTGCAGCCCGGCCCCCATATCTCCCCATATCTCCCCATATCTCCGCCACCTGCTGCAGCCCGGCCACCGTCGCGCTCGAGTTGGTTGTCTGCCCCAGGTCGGCGACAACGCCAAACCGGACGGCGGGCGAGCCCGCGGCCTACGTTATGACGGTCGTAGTTTTGGGGGCGGCGCCCCTCACGGCACCACACACTGCCGCAAGACAGCCAGCGAGCCGGCGGCGTGGTGAAGCGGAGCGACCGCGAGGACCTCTCCTGGACCTTTCCTGCTGCGCTGCGGACGCGGTACTCGTACTCGGTCGCTGGCTCGAGCTGCGTGAGCTGGACCGAGTGCAGCACGCTCGACGTGTAGATGCAGGACGGGTCGGTGTAGCCTCCGGGGCAAGCGTCCGCTGCCTGCAATGCCGAGTACACGGACCCACTCGGACCCGGCACCGCCGTCCACGAAGCGGCATCAGAGACCGCTCGAACCTCGACCACGGACGGAGCGGTGGAGGTGTCGTTGTCGGACCAAGTCACGTGAATGCTGTCGACGCTCGCGCCGGTGAGGTGGATCTGCTCCGGGCCGGCTCGTTGAGCGTTGCGCGGGTCTGAGAGGGGGATGAGCGGCGAGCCACCGACCCGGTTCGAGGGCCGAGTGGTGCCAGAGAGCGCGGTGGCGAGTATGTGCATCATACCGGCGTTCACTCGAACGCCATGCACATGGCGCGGAGCAGCCCCGGGTTGGTGTCGAACCCGAGCGGGTCCTGATATTAAGGTGGAAGTCCGGGTTCTGTGAAGAGGGTCGCTCGTCGAATGCGAGCCAGTTCGCTCGCGACGCCGACGCCGACGCCGCCGCCGGAACGACCGCGGCGGCCGGTCGAGCGGCCGCCCCGGCCAGCGGCCGTATCGAGCCTGCCCGTCGCGAAGGTGCGGACCTCACGCGCCCCACCGGCCGCCCGCGCCGCCGCGCCCACGTCGCTCTCTCGAAGCCGAGCGCCACGCCGCTACGACTCCCATCGCGACGACTCCCGTGCTCGCTCCTGGCGCAGGCGATCGACTCCTGACACCCATCGAGCGGATGGGCGCGTTCCCGCCGCGACCCGGTACTCTCGAACGACTTTTGAGGGCAAAAGGTGCCGCCCGAGCCCATTCCCGCCGCCCGCCGCCCGAGATCAGCTGCCACCGGCCAGCGCGCGCGCGGAGACCTGCCGCGAGCGCCTCCGTGGCCCTAGCTGGGGTGATTAGCAAGCGCCTCGGCACTTTAGATTCGCCCCTCGGGCTTTTCCGCGCGCGTGATCAGTCTCGCGTTCTCTCCTTTTTCAGGCGCCTGTTTTCGGCCTCTGAAGAGCAACCGTCGAGGCGTCGATGCTCGCCTCCACGCCCGCGCCAGACCTCCGCGATTGGGGCGCCTTGTCGACGGGATCAATTGTGATTCCGGGCGTATTTTTCGGCGATTTCATTCGCACGTCGGCGACTCTTAGTCGCTTCTCCGTGCTAGGAGGCCTCTGTATTGTGTTTGTGAGGACTAGATCGAAACTAACATTTCGGCATATGCGAATGAAATCGCCAAAAAATGCGCGTTCACTCACAATTCATGTGTATATGAACGGTGCCGACGGGTTTGGCGAGCAGCGAAGCCGTCCAGGCGCAGCAACGCGACGGTTTCGGAGGCCGACGGCTCCGAAAGAGCCTCCCGTTCGAGGCCGGCGCGGTCACGGTACCTTGGAGGCCACAGACGTCGCCGGAGCGGCACTCCCGGGGCGCCACTCCCTCACCCGGTCAGGGGGGGGCAACCACAGCCCGCCTCACCGTCCGTGGAGCTTCCGTGGTCCGCCGCTTCGGCTTCGATTTTCGACCCTCCCGAGGCTGCTAGAGCAGCCCCGCGGAGCCTCCCGGATGCACCGGCACACCGTCGTCCAGAACGCCGGCGCACGCGCTGCCCAGTGACTGGGCGGGTCGGCCCCGACTAGGGGCGCGCCCAGCCGGGCGGAGAAGACCATCACCACTCGAGGTTCGTCGCACCGTCCGCTCCGGTTTTCGTCTCGAGCGGGTCGTGAGACGGCCGCGAGAGCGAGCACCGCGGTCACAGTGCCGTGGAGGCCACAGACGTCGCCGGAGCGGCACTCCCGGGGCGCCACTCCCTCACCTGGTCAGGGGCGGCCAACCACAGCCCGCCTCACCGTCCGTGGAGCTTCCGTGGTCCGCCGCTCCGGCTTCGATTTTCGACCCTCCCGAGGCTGCTAGAGCAGCCCCGCGGAGCCTCCCGGATGCATCGGCACACCGTCGTCCAGGATGACGGCGCACGCGCTGCCCAGTGACTGGGCGGGTCGGCCCCGACTAGGGGCGGGCCCAGCCGCGCGGAGAAGGCCAGCGAGCTCGAAACACGTCGCCGCGGCCGGCCGTTTCGCAAGCCTGAGCGGGTCGCCAGACACCCGCGAGAGCCAGCAGCTAGAGCGCCGTCGTAGCCGCAGATCGAGTCGAGGAGCTTGATGTCCACGGTAGCAGTTGTGGAGAGCGGTGGCACGGTGCGTGTAGACGCGTCGATTGAGGGCTCCCTTTCGAAACGCGACGGGTACGGCTTGACAACTGCCAGTACAGTTTTACGCCGGCCAGCGTGAGAGCACAACAGGGAGCCGGCGACCCGTACGCTTTGCGCGTGGCGACTGGTGGCTGTCTGGAGCTCGTGTGAGCTGGGCCGACGCGTGGCCGAGCCGAGAGGACCAGCGAGCGACCACGTTGGCGATGAAGCTTGGCGGCCGGCGCCTCGTCGCCAGACGTCACAGCGGCGTGGACGTAGGAGTGTGCGGCGACGGGTACCGGCAAATCCGGCCCGGTGTGGCCGGCAGCTGCCTAGCGCTGGCCTGTGGCCGGCGCCGCGGTGGCGGAGAAGGCGTCTCGCCGCCGTGGCGGCGCTCGACATGTGCGAGCGTGATGCCATCGTGCGGGACGACACCCGTCTCAAAACCCGGACTGCCACCTTAAATGAACTCGGGGGCACAGGACGCGGTACAAACGGGGTACACCAAAAGGCACAGGCTGCCTGCACGGCGTTCACTCGAACGCCATGCACATGGCGCGGAGCAGCATCGGGTTGGTGTCGAACCCGAGCGGGTCCTCCTCCCAGTCCCGGTGCCCACCCTCCGCGTCATCCTGCTCATCGTGCGCGTCGAGCACCCTGCCGAGGCACAGGACCGTCCCCTTGGGAACGCCTGCCCCTCGCGCGCGCGGGAACTCTCCCTGCACCGCCATCACGAACTTCTCGCGCGCCCACTTGCCGCCACGGCGGCAGTGCTGGGGCGCGCGCTCGCGCAGCTCCTCGTAGAGCTCCTCGGCCCTCGCCACCTCCGCCGCCCAGCCCTCCGCTGACGCCTGAGCCGCCTTCTTCTCCCTGAGCGTCTTGAACACCGGCGGCGGCGCCGGCGATGGCGCCACCTCCGGCTCGCCCGCCGCCTCTGCAGCGCGCCGCCCCTTCCTCGCCTTCTCCTTGAGCCGCTTCCTAGCGCTCTTGGTCAACGCCGGCGCCGCCGCCGCGGCCTGGAGGCGCACGAGGCGCTCGAGTCGGCCGTCCAGGCGCTCGGGTACTACACGTGCGCGGTCAAGGAGGCGCGCAAGTCGCTCATGCCCGCCGAGCCGCTGCTGCAGCTCATCGAGAAGCTCGAGGTGGCGCAGGCGCGCGTCAACGAGCTCACGGAACCTGGTTTGTGGAGCTCCCACAGATGTTCTGACAGAGACCTGGCCGTTCTGACAGCGTTCTGACAGCGTTCTGACAGTGTTCTGACAACGTTCTGACAACGTTCTGACAACAGCGCAAAATCCTCCCCTCTCTTCACAGCTCAGGGGCTCTGACATTCCCAGTTGCCCCGCTCCTTCCCTCTTCCTGTCTTGAAGTCTCCCTCCGAGCCACGGACGGACTCAACACACACAACACGTCCTCCCAAGCGCCAAGGCGACACTCTCACGTTGAGGCGTAGGCCTTGTTCTGACACAAACTTGGTCCCCGTTCTGACACAAACTTCAACTTTCAACTTCGAGTCCAAGTTTGCCTGTTCTGACAATCTGTTTTTAAAAAGAAATGCCGTTAGAGACACCAAGCGGGAGCGCAAACAGCTGTAACCGTCGAGCAGGAGCACGCCACAAGACCGCCATGCTGGCTCGAGGCAGCAAACGCGCTCTTGGGATGGTCTGCTCCGCAGCCAGGAGCCCCGCGACAGAGCCGAAGAAGCCGCGGCCCGGCAGCAGCAGGCCGAAACGCCGCAGCACAAAGCGCAATGCGCGGGCCCGGCGGTCCAGGTAGACGCGAAGGCTGCATCCAAGACGGCAGCCTCGGGTCACGCGCGACCGAACGTGCCGCTTGCGCCGCCGCCGCGCCGTTCTTTGGCACCACCGCCAAACGGCCCTTGCTCCTCCGCGACACTCGCCGCAGAGACGGCGCTTGTCGCCGCCAAAGCAATGAGGTCGATACTAGCGTCTATAACTTGCCACAAGCATGCTTTACAAAAGTCCAGCGGAGCTGGACTCGCAGAACGGCCGTTCGCGCGCGCTGTGAACAGCGCCGTGGTTGAACACTGTTCAACGTCGTTGAACACGTGACGGTCCAGTAACCGAAGGCGTCGTCCTCGTCCTGGACAGCCAGCACCTCGGCGAGGGCGCCGTCATGGAGCACGTAGTCGCCGACGCCCGCCCAGCCCTCCGACTCGCTAGCCCGGCCTGCCGCCGCCTCCGCCGTGGCCCCAGCCGCGGCCTCCGCCGCAGCGCGCGCCGCCTACCAGGTACTTTCCGGCAGCTTTCCGGGGTTTGCCCCTTTGTGTGTGTGTATATGCTCGCTGCCTTCACCTTCGCCGCGGCGCTGCTGCACACCAGCGGAACGGCGCGGGTCGCTCGCTGCTGCCCCCCCGCCGCCGCCGTGCTCCCGGCAACCGAATACATGCTCCGGCAGCTGCAGCCAGCGCAGTCCATCGGTCTGCTGGCGGCCTGGGAGAAGGCGTCCCGCGACCTGCGCGCTGCTGGCTTTCGCGGGCCGCAGGACGAGGCGATCGGCGAGCGAGCGCTCAAGCTGAAGCAGCTGGCCGAGACGCTACCGCGCGTCAAGTCGACGGCGATGATCCTCGGGCTGTGTGAGAAGGGCTCGCTTTCGTTTGAGACGCTGGAGGAGCCGCACAAGTCGCAGGCTGAGACGCTCTCGCGCACATCCCTCCGAGGCGAGCCGCCGTGGGGCTCCCCTCGCGGACACCCTCACCTGGCCTTCGGCATTGCGCACCGTGCTGGGGGCTGTGCGCACGCACCCTCCCTCCCTCTCCGCCCGCGCAGCCGCAATCTCCGCCGGCCGCGGCTCCGCAATCGCCTTCGTCTCGCAGTGGGAGGACCACGTCTCGATCGACGCGGTGCCGGCGACAGCTCGGCTGCAGCTCGGACGAATCTCGGCTATCCCTCGGCTCCATCTCGGCTCTCTCGCCGCCTCCACCTCCTCGCCCTCGTTCGCCCTCGTCCGTCCTCCGGCTCCGAGAGGCACTGCAGTGGACGCTGCCCACGTGCGCCGCAAAGTCGGAGTGCGCCTGGTCACAGCGCGCCGCTGTGAAGAGGGAGAGGGGGGGAGAGGGGCGGGGGGGGGGGGGGAAAGGGGAGGGGGGGCGGGGGAAAAGGGGGGGGAGAAAAAAGGAGAAAAGGGGAGAAAAAGGGAGAAGAGAGGAGAGGAGGAGGGCGCCCAAGGAGGAGCGAGCTTCCCGCAGCTCACGGCTCACGGCGTCTCTTGCAGTACCTCGAGCTTACCCGAGATTACCCGAGATTACCCGAAATTAGGTTGTTGTCAACCCGCAGTACCTCGAGCTCGGAGAGGCGGCGGAGGCAGTGCTGCTCGCTGACATTGCGCAGCGCGCGCGTGCCGCGGGCGTGGCCGACGTGAGGTTGCACCCCGCCTACCAGGCCGACGGAGCTGCCTTCTACGAGCGGTGCCGAGCTCCCTCCGAGAAACTTGCGAGACGCCGCCGAGATGCAGCCGATATCCTCCTCCCCCCCCCCCCCCCCCGTTCCACGCCTCACCGCGTCAGCCCCTCTCTGCTCACAGCCGCGCTGATTTTTCTTCTTCTCCCCCTCTGCTCACAGGTGCGGCTTCGTCGCCGCGGCGGGCGGCGCAGAGGGAGCGCCGCTGCGGTTCGCCAGCGGATCTGAGGCGCCAGAGGTGGCGGCGGCGGAGCCGGCGGCGGCGGCTGAGGCAGTGGCGGCGGAGCCGGCGGCGGCAACGGGACCAGCTGGGGCGGAGGCTGGGGCGGCGAGAGAAGGGGCGGCGGAGAAGCAAGGCTCCACCGACTCTACCTCCGATCCAAGGGCCTAGGCGGCCCGCCATGATTTCTTTAGCCGTGTGTGCTGGCTTGCCTCGGTATGCGTGTATGGCCCATCTCGGCGAGCCGTCGGGCGATCTCCTCTCACGCACGTCTGTCGTTTCTCTCTTGTTTTTTGAGGTGGATGTTATGTATTATGATAAACTTAACTTGGAGCACTTTAGATCAGCAGGAGGATGGGGTACGAAGAGATTAGGAGCAGCAGGGACCCGCGAGGGACCATGTGGAAGTGCGCAAGCGGAGCGGTAGCGCCTGAGCTCCCGGGCGGCTGCGCCGGCCGCGCGGGCCGTGGGCGCAGCGTGGGGCCGGGAGCGGCCGGCTCCGTGCTCATGTATCCAGCGTCTCTAGACGATTACAAAGGATCGGACGTCACGCACATTTTGACAGGGACGTCGGAAATCGGACACATCCACTGGGACGAGTCAATTCATTCACTAGAATGACTAGAAAGAGGGCACCCATGGGGGGTGATCGCATCCCCCCCAATGGCGGCGGGCGCCGCAGAGCCGGCATTGTGAGAGTCAATCCCCCCCATTGCGCGCGCGCGCAGGACGCGAACGTCGAAGACGTCTACTCCGTGATCGTGCCCCTCAGCCAGAGGCGGCTTCACGTCGTATCGCGGCACGTGTACCCGCTGTGGCGAGGGCCACATCCCCGCCGGCACCATCCAGTGCCCGACGTGCCACTGGATCCTCGACGAGACCTGGGACGAGCACGAGGTGTACCATTGGCAAGATGGCAGCGACATGCGCTGCCGCGCTTGCGGCGAGCTGTGGTCCTCGAAGGTACAATATTGCCTGGGGGACTGGTGCGGCGGCCCCGTCGAGCCGGTCGACGGCTCATGGCATGTTGCATGGAGACTCCTGAATTCGGCAAACCCGGAGCAGCTGCACACTACGATACCTACGTTTGCCGGCGGCCGCTACGAGAGGGAGGATGTGGAGGTGGTCCGCATCAGTGGGCCACGCCCGTCGCCCCGCCCTGACCCTAGTGCCGCTGGCAGCTCGAGCACGCACGCGAGCCTGGCGCCGGGCAGCGTGGACCACGAGGACGCGGCGATGCCGAGCGAGCAAGCGGGCGCGGCGTCCGCGCATGTGCCGGGCGACGCCGCCCCCGCAGGGCCACCCGACCCCATCGCCCAGACGCCCGCCTACCCACCGCCGACGGGGCCGGAGCACGGGAGGGAGTTTCGCTCCGACGAGGACGGGGACGGCCCCACCGGGACCGAGGCCGAGGGTGTCGCCTACGCCGAAACCCTCGCCGAGGCCGAGGGTGTCGCCTACGCCGAAACCCTCGCCGAAGCCAAGCGCGCCGCCGACGAGCGACTCCGCGCCGCTCTCGCCGCGTGCCCGCTATCGGGAAAGGTGATGAGGAGGGGCGAACACGTCGAGTACCTCACCACACGGGTGTCCCCCCCGGAACGCGCCAGGGCCGGGTGGGCCGATGACCCGCCGCCATCGGCCTATCGACGGGCGGCTGGAGCGGTCATCCTCGTGGGCAGCTAACGGGGGCAGCCGAGTTGGCGCCTGGACGCCGCTCGAGGCGACGCCCCTGCGCCCTCCCGGCTTTGCGACCCTCCCGGGCTGGCGTACTCCCGGGGAGCAGCCCTCCCGGCTGGCCGTGGGTGCGAGGAATCGCAGGCTGGGTCGTGCACTCCGGCAGCCCCTCCTGGCCTCGCCCCTGCCTCCCGCAGCCTGACCGAATCCCACGGGTCCACTTGACGGTGTGGTTTCCACCGTCTTAGGTAACGAAACACACCCTAGCTAAGGACAGGGTCGGACTGTGTGCTAGTCCGAGACCTACGACCCGCAGAGGTATTTTCTTCTGGAGTCGCTCCCGTGGGGTGACCATGTCTGCCATGCCTCCGTCTATAGACACTCGGGCCTTGGAGCCGCCCACGTCGGCAACGACCGTGGCTACGACCGTGGCATCCAGCGTCAGCCACCTCTGCCACTTTGTGCACGAGTGGCTCGACTTTCGCGTGCCAGAGCTGCTCGCGGCGGCCGAGGCGGTTGGCGTTGACGTCTCTGCGACCGACGCCGACATCGACGAGCTCTCTGCCGGCGCGGGCGGCGTCTACCTCCCCGTGAGCTGCTCCAGCGGCTCCGCCGGCCTAGCGCGAGTCGCGGCGCGCGCGGTGCTCGTCAAGCGCTTCGTCGAGGTGTGGGCGAGCGGCGCCTCGATTGCCGAGCTGGAGGGGCGGCTCCGCGCGTGCCCGGCCGAGGTGTACGCGCCGTACCTGCGCGAGGGGTCGAGCTTCAAGGTGGTGGTGGACGGGTACGGCGGGAGCGCGAGCGAGCCGGACCGCCTCGAGCTGATCACGCGCCTCGCCAAGCTGCTCTCTCCTCGCGGCAAAGTGCGGCTCAAGTCGCCCGACTACACGCTCGTCCTGCTCGTGGACTTTGTCGGTCCTGCTGCTGGTGGGACTGCCGGCGACGCGGCGGCGGGCGCGGGCGGCGGCGGCGGTGGCCGCGGCGGTGACCGCGGCGGTGAGGGCGGCGGTGAGGGCGGCGGTGACGGCGGCGGCGGCGGTGGTGGTGGTGGCGGCGGCGGCGGCGGCGGTGGCGGCGGCGGCGGCGGCGGGCCCGCCGCGGCTGCCTTCCGCTTCTACTTTGGGCTCGAGGCTTGCGCACGCCCCGCACTGCTACCTTGGCAGCCACACTTGGGAAGATGGGGCTGGCTCCGGACGGGTGTGAGCCGCGGCAGCCGACGAGCCGATGCCAAGCCCCCCGCCCCCCCGTCCTCCCCCCCCAAAGGTTGGCGTTGGGCAGCGGGAGCTGGTCGGTCGACTCGACCTCAAGCGGCGGAACTACATTGGCACCACCTCCCTCGACGCGGAGCTCTCGCTCGTGATGGCCAACCTGGATTTAATGAACGAATCAACCAGCGAATTAACTCATTAATTAGGAGCTCTCGCTCGTGATGGCCAACCTGGATTTAATGAACGAATCAACCAGCTAATTAACTCATTAATTAGGAGCTCTCGCTCGTGATGGCCAACCTGGATTTAATGAACGAATTGACGAGCGAATTAACTCATTAATTAGGAGCTCTCGCTCGTGATGGCCAACCTGGATTTAATGAACGAATTAACCAGCGAATTAACTCATTAATTAGGAGCTCTCGCTCGTGATGGCCAACCTGGATTTAATGAACGAATCAACCAGCGAATTAACTCATTAATTAGGAGCTCTCGCTCGTGATGGCCAACCTGGATTTAATGAACGAATCAACCAGCGAATTAACTCATTAATTAGGAGCTCTCGCTCGTGATGGCCAACCTGGATTTAATGAACGAATTGACGAGCGAATTAACTCATTAATTAGGAGCTCTCGCTCGTGATGGCCAACCTGGATTTAATGACCGAATCAACCAGCGAATTAACTCATTAATTAGGAGCTCTCGCTCGTGATGGCCAACCTGGATTTAATGACCGAATCAACCAGCGAATTAACTCATTAATTAGGAGCTCTCGCTCGTGATGGCCAACCTGGATTTAATGACCGAATCAACCAGCGAATTAACTCATTAATTAGGAGCTCTCGCTCGTGATGGCCAACCTGGATTTAATGACCGAATTAACCAGCGAATTAACTCATTAATTAGGAGCTCTCGCTCGTGATGGCCAACCTGGATTTCATGACCGAATCAACCAGCGAATTAACTCATTAATTAGGAGCTCTCGCTCGTGATGGCCAACCTGGATTTAATGAACGAATTAACCAGCGAATTAACTCATTAATTAGGAGCTCTCGCTCGTGATGGCCAACCTGGATTTAATGACCGAATCAACCAGCGAATTAACTCATTAATTAGGAGCTCTCGCTCGTGATGGCCAACCTGGATTTAATGAACGAATTCACCAGCGAATTAACTCATTAATTAGGAGCTCTCGCTCGTGATGGCCAACCTGGATTTAATGACCGAATCAACCAGCGAATTAACTCATTAATTAGGAGCTCTCGCTCGTGATGGCCAACCTGGCGAGGTGCGGGCCCTCGCAGCTCGTCTTCGACCCGTTCTGCGGAGCCGCGAGCCGCCTCGACCTTTGACACGTCCATGACACGTCCGGGACATGTCCGGGACATGTCCGTAGGCTGATGGACTACTCGCTGCTGCTGACACGTCCATGACACGTCCATGACACGTCCGGGACATGTCCGTAGGCTGATGGACTACTCGCTGCTGCTGACACGTCCATGACCCGTCCATGACACGTCCGGGACATGTCCGTAGGCACCGCGAGCTGCCTCGTCGGCGCCGCCGCCTTTGGCGCACGCGTGCTCGGCTCCGACCTGTACGCCCCGGTGCTTCGCGGCGCGGTGCGGTCCCGATCTGGCCCTTCCAAGGCGACTCAGCCGAAGAGGCAGTCGATCGGCCTCACCTTCGAGCAGTACGGGCTGCCCCCCCTTCTCGGTCTCGTCCATGCCGACTCGGGGCGCGCCGGCTGCCCGCTGCGCACGTCCCGCGCGCCGCCCGTCGGGTGCACTTCCTAGACACCTCCTAGACACCTCCTAGACACTTCCTAGACACCTCCTAGACACCTCCTAGACACCTCCTAGACACCTCCTAGACACCTCCTAGACACTTCCTAGACGCCTCCTAGACACTTCCTAGACACCTCCTAGACGCCGCCCGTCGGGTGCGGAGGGCGGTCGCGTCCCCTCTTTGACACGTCCATGACAGTCCATGGCACGTCGCTGACGTGTCCGGGACACGTCCGCAGGCGGCCGCGTCCCTTCCTTGACGCCATCATCACCGACCCGCCCTACGGCATCCGCGAGCGATCGGCGACGCTCGACGACGCTCCGCTCTCCGAGCGAACCCTCGAGGAGGCGACACTTCCTAGACACCTCCTAGACACCTCCTAGACACCTCCTAGACACCTCCTAGACACCTCCTAGACACCTCCTAGACACCTCCTAGACACCTCCTAGACACTTCCTAGACACTTCCTAGACACTTCCTAGACAGCGAACTCTCGAGGAGGCGCAGCTCGCCTCGCACGTCCCTCGAGGCATGTCCACGACACGTCCACGACACGTCCGGGACACGTCCACAGGCGCAGCTCGCCTCGCACGTCCCCCGCACGGCGGCCGCGCCGCTCGAGGCGATCTTCGCCAACCTCTTCAAGACGGAAGGTCATCATATTTCTGTTTTCACGCGCGTACTGTCTCTTTTCAGGCGACCCTCGCCGACCGCTTCAAAACAGAGGAACACGTCTTTTTATACGCGCGTACCTGTCTCTTTCCAGGCGATCCTCGCCGACCTCTTCTCCCTCGCCACGGCCTCTCTCGTCCCGGGCGGGCGGCTGGTCTTCCTGCTGCCGTGCACCCTCCCCCTCGCCGAGTCGCTTGCCCTCCTCCCGCCTCACCCGACGCTCGAGGTGCCTCCGCGGGGACGAGGAGGCCGCCGAGGCAGGCAGAGGCCACACGCCCCTCCCAGCCGCCCGTGCCGGTGCCTTAGGTGGTCGGCGCGTGCGAGCAGCGCATGGCGGCGCGCTGGTCGCGCTGGTGCGTCACCATGATCCGGTCGGCCGACGGCTCCGCCGAGGCGACGACGAGCGGCGCCGAACCCTCTCCCGCCGGCGAGGAAGCGGCGGTGCCGGACTTGCGCCGCACTATTTTTGAGCGGAGATGCGGCGGCGGCGGCGCAGCGGCGGACAGGCCCGTTGCGCCCGTCCTCCACCCAGAGCTGCAGGAGAAGGTTGCGCGCCGACGGGCGGGCTATTCGCGCAACGGGCCGCCGGCGCCTGAGGCATGCGCACAGAACGGCGGATAGCGCGTGCGTGGCGAATGCACGCCGGTTCGTCACCACGAGTCGGGGCGTTGGGTCCATTTTTTTTATCGAAATGCATGCACATGCATATATACGGTTTTACACACACCGCACTCTAAAAACTAAAAAAAGAGTTTACTTCTCGGGGCCCCTCCAGGGGGCGACCCCTCCGGGGAGGTCGGCCTTCCCCGTGCCGGTCCTCCCCAACCAACCCCGCCGGCAGAACGAGCTGCCGGCCACATTGAGCGGTTCGTCCGCGTCGCGCACTCGTCCCAACCGCGAATCGGGCGCCGCAGACTCGTTCTGCGCGCCTTTTTTTCGTATCATTTTGGTAACAGCCAGCCCAAACGCGTTTGATTCATGCTCGAAACGCGGCCAGCCAGCCAGCGGGTCCTCTTCGTGTGCGGCACGTCGGGCGGCCGGCGCGTCGTGCTGTACCGCTTCCCTCCCGAGGATGCTCCCGGCGCCCTCCCGCTCCCGCCCAAGGTGACCGCCTTCTGCACCGCCGACGAGAGCGCGGGCGGCGCTCTTGGAAGCTTCACCTGCAATGTGCTCTCCGCCAGCGGCACGCGCCTCTTCCTCTCGGTGGTCACCCCTCCGGCCGGAAACGGGCCGCCGTCGGGCGAAGGCCCGCAGAGCCTCGCGCTGCTCTCCACCGCGCCGTGCATCCTCGACGCGCAGCGGTGCCTGCGCGCGCTCTCCAAGCTCTACCGCTCCGACGCCGCGGCGCGCGCCTCGCTCCCTCTCCCACAGCGGCAGCGCTCACACCCGAGTCTGCGCGAGGGTGGAGGCGGACGCCTCGCCGCCGCCACCGGCATCGGCCGGGCGGGAGGCGAAGGCGAGCGGCCGCCTCGCCCCGACGACTGGAGGGAGAGGCGGCGGGCGCGCAGGCAGCAGCACGTCACGCGCGTCTTCCCGGACGGACGTGGCGATGCCACCGGCGGCGGCAGCAACGATGGCGGTGGTGACAGTGGCGGCGGCGGCGGCGGCGGCGGCGGCGGCGGCGGCGGCGGCGATGTCTCAGCGAGCGCCATCGTGTCTGCGGAGACGCGCGTGCGCCGCACGCTCCGTCGGCAGAGAAGCGACGGCGGCGTCGGCTGCGCTCCTGCCGTCTCGCTCCACCGGTGGCTGGAGGCGCCCTACCCCGGGCCGTTGCGCGTTGTCTTGCGTTAGCCGTTGATAGCACGCGCCTCGCCCCGCCCTTGTAGGCGCGCTGTGCCGCCCGCCAGCTCGACGTGCTCTCGCTGCTCGAGGAGAGCGCCGCCCCGGCCGCCTCGCTCTGGCCGCAGCCGAGCGCAGCCAGCGGCACGCTCGCTTCCGGCGGCGGCGGCGGCGGCGGCGGCGGCGCGCGGGTGGCGGGCGGCGTGGTGGGCATGGAAGGGTGGGGCGACTGGAGCGCCGCACCTATGCTCGCGCTGTGCGGCGCCGAGCTCACCGTGCTTCTGT